TTAGAATCAGGATGGGGGACCTGATTTTATTTAGTATTCATTTATTTTTTTAAGTTTTTCTATGCCATCCCATTACTAAAAGTCTCTGGACAGCTTGCAAAGAACAATGTATGATTCTATGATTATTGTTGTAAGCTGTCCAAATAGCTTTGACCACAGGAGGTATAGAAATGCGGTTAATAATAATAGTAATAATAAGAAGTGAGGTTTTTTCATGGCTTCCACATTTAAGGAAAGCTGATGTTTTTGTGTGCATGTGTTTTAAGCCAGGAAAATCTGTGTAAATTCTAGCTGCAATTGGTGTAAATTCCAGCCCAAATATGAATAGATTCCAGTTGCAAGTGGAATAAATTCCCCAAAGTTGAAGAGAAGAGAAGAGAAGAGAAGAGAAGAGAAGAGAAGAGAAGAGAAGAATACACAAAGATTACCTGCTCTCTCACATCATGTCTGAGTGAGCAAGCACCACCAGATTCCACTTGCTTCCTGGAGCTCTTGACTTTGTCTTAAACACTGTCCCACTGTACTGAGTTCAGGACAAATTGCTAGTGAAATCTGGGAAATGCATTGGAACAGATCTCAGACTTCTGCTGCTTCTGTAGAATTCTGCTAGGCAGCTCTCTGAATCATGACCAGTACAATTAATGAACATTGAGAACCTTTTCATGGGGCGGGAAAGCTTGGAAAGATGTTCAGTTTCAGGAGATTCTTAATGGTTTTACATTTTCAAGGTCTTTGACACAATTTTGCGTCCCTCCATTCTAACGGAAGCGTTGTTCCCCCCTCCCCCTGCAGAACTCTGCCCACCACCGCCCCAGCTTCCAAATGCTGTCACCATCGCTGAGAAGAGAAGCTACAAGAGTGGTGAGGAGATAAGCTTCCTCTGTGCGGAGCATTTCCTTCTTCAAGGGCCACAAAAAATAATGTGTGAAGGTGGAAAATGGCAACCACCACCACACTGTCTCGGTTAGTATTTTGCCATTACTATCTGGCCTTTGCTTCCAGTAACAGGACGCCAGCGCTACCCGGCGTTGGTGGATACCTTTGCAAAGAGAGCAGTGTTGACCTGGCACTGAAAAGACTGCCCAGTCGGTGCCAGGTGGGCAGTGTGAGCACTGAGGCAGGGACATCGCTCTTTCTTGTCTTGCCAGCTGGCCCCGCTTGGAGGCGGCTTTCCCAGGAAGGCCGCAAACGCTGAGGGCACTGTCCTCACGGGAAGACTGTCACTGGGAGAGGAAGCCCTGCGGGCCTTGTGGGACCGAGCTGTGCAGGGTTCTGCAGGCTGAGGCCAGCACTTCAGACTGGGCTAGGAAGCATTTGGGCAGCCA